GGATTGCGGTTACCACGTCACGTTTTGCCGCCGCATTAAATTCCTTGAGCCGAATGTAACCAACAGGGCCGGTTGGGGCAGAGGAGGAGGAAAACACCGAAGAGAACATGGAAGAGGAGGAGGAAGCGGAGGGAGAGGGGGAGGAGGAGGAGGAAGCAGCAGAGGAGAAGTCCTGAAATAACCCCAGAGGAGAGATGGGGTCGTTTCGGTCGAGGCGGTAAAGCACGGGCGACTGCACTTCGCTAGTGCGTGACATAGTGAGGGACTCTATAGGGGAGCACGAGTCGTGGCGGATGGCGATGGTGACAGGGGTGCCCTTGGGGCCCTGAATGAGCGAAGATACGTCGAATGCGGACATGCCTTGTACGCTCGTGCCGTCCACTGACACGAGCTCGTCGCCTTGCCGCACGCCTGGATGGTGGGGTGGAGGGCAGGGTCGGAAAGAACAGAGATTGAGGGATGGATGGGATGGGATGAGCGAAGATACGTCGAATGCGGACATGCCCTGTACACTCATGCCATCCACTGAAACGAGCTCGTCGCATTGCCGCACGCCCGGATGAGAGTGTGGACGGGGAGAGGAGATGGGGAAGGTGGGGGGGAGGGGGGGGGGAGGAGAGAAACGGGGATTGAAGAGTGGAGGGAATGGGATGCGCCAATTTCTACTGAATGCGGGCATGCCCTGCACGCTTGTTCCGTCTACTGAAACGAGCCTGTCCCCTTGCTGCACGCCTGGATGAGGGGTGAGAGGGTGGGGGGGAACAGGGATTAGGGGTGGAGGGGATGGGACGCAATTAGCCAATTTCCGTTTAATGCACAAGTGCGGTTGGTAAAGGGGTGGTGGGGTTGTGTTGGATGATTTTATTCAATATGTAACGTCTTACAGGTAAAGACGAGCTCACCTGCTCGCTGTGCTGGTGAGCCGAGCACGATCCCCACCACCTTCAGCTTCACCCGCCCGCCCTCCACATCCTCGCCAACTCTCAACCCGATAAAACCTGGCTGTGTATACTGTGATGTCGCTATGAGCTCACCTGCTAGTTGTGCCGGCGAGATGTAATCCCCCCTTACAGCCTACCCCACTTCAGTGAAAACGTCATATTGTACCGGTCGAGATGAGCTCACCTGCTAGCTGTGCTGGTGAGCCGAGCACGATCCCCACCACCTTCAGCTTCACCCTCCCGCCCTCCACATCCTCGCCAACTCTCAACCCGATAAAACCTGGCTGTGTATACTGTGATGTCGCTATGAGCTCACCTGCTAGTTGTGCCGGCGAGATGTAATCCCCCCTTACAGCCTACCCCACTTCAGTGAAAACGTCATATTGTACCGGTCGAGATGAGCTCACCTGCTAGCTGTGCTCGCGAGCCGAGCACGATCCCCACCACTTTAAGCTTCACCCGCCCGTCCTCCACATCTTTCCCCCACAGTCAGCCCCCATTTTCAGTAAGTATATCAGGTCGTTTCGGTCAAGATGAGCTCACCTGCTAGCTGTGCCAGCGAGCCAAACACAATTCCCTTTAAGCTTCACCTGCCCGCCCTCCATGTTGTTCCTCCTACAGTGAATTGGATTTTACCATATATGCAAGGCCTTACTGGTAACGACTAGATCACCTGCTAGCTGTGCTGGTGAGCAGTGCGCCATCTCCCCACCACTATAAGCATCACCCGTCCGTCCTCCATGTCTTTCCCCTTACAATGAGTCCGATTATAGTGAATACATACGTCGTACCGGTCAAGATGAGCTCACCTGCTAGCTGTGCTGGCGAGCCGAGCACGATCCCCACCACCTTCAGCTTCACCCGCCCGTCCTCCACATCCTCGCCAATGTTTAGCCCGATACCAGTAACGTCGTACTTAGCTAATGCCGCGAATTGCTTAGGCGAAACAAACCGGGAATATGGGTCGTTCAAGCTGGCCAGCATGCTGCTGATCATGGCGTAAGCTTCCCCCCTACTTTTGGGGAGTTTCCGAAAAATAGCCTCTTTTTTTGCTGCCCAAGCCTCGGGCGTCCACCCCTTGTTCCGGGCATCGAAAAATGTTTCGTTGACCACTTCCCAGGCCTCCAGGACCACTGATTGGTCCGTAATTTCGGCTTCAGGAGCAAAACGTTCGCCTGAGAGAATAGTGGAGGACGGGGGAGGGCAGAAGAGAGAGGAAGAGGCAGTGCTGCTGGTGCTGTTACTGCTGCCACTGCTGCTGCTGCTGCTGTCAGTACTGCTGCTGCTGCTGCTGATAGGGCTACCAGTACTGAAGGTGCTGGTGGTGGTGGTGGAAGGTTCAGCGAAGTTCGAAGTCGACTCTAACGGCGGGGCAGGCAACAACGCCACTTGCAAAATTCCCTCTCTATTTATATCAGGTGTCTGAGCAGGGACGTTTGCGGCAGGGGTTTCTGAGCTTGCAAGCTCCTGTATCCGGTGATCTTTCAGACGATAATCTGCTGCGGATGTCGAGTTGGCGAATATCGGGGACATGTCACTGGCAGGGGAGGCTAAGGCTGGAAGAGAGGAGCTGAGAAGAGCAAGAAGCATGCAGGAGACGGAGAGGGAGGGCCACAAACGGGGAGATGCCGTATCCCCGTTATTGAGTTCTTCGGAAGAACCGAACAGTGAGGCCCACAGGCGCGACGAGGACGATTCGAAGTTGGATTGAACGGCATCTAAACGTGATTGTAACGGTGTCTGGGGCTCACACGAAAGCTCCTTCCTAGCGGTTGAGCCCCCAATTCTGTCGCTTCCAGAACCTCCACGTGTCAATTCCGCATTGAGCTTAAGCGAACGAGCTGGTCGAAACGTCGATCGTGAAGAATCAGCAACCTGCGGTGCACGGGGACTGTCCGATTGAACTCTGTGATGATTATGACACGTGGCTGAGCATTGCCGACGAACGAATCTGGGAACCGCGATCACGGCAAGTCTTGCAACATCTCTCGACGTGCTTGTAGAGAATGTGACAACGCCGGGTGGCAGGGTGTTGCGAGAGATAAACTGCGACGTCATCGAAAAACTTTGGCCAGGGAAATCAGAAACGAGGATTCCCAAGCAAGGTTAGGATTCCACGAGAATTTGAAAAAAGAACGGTTCCCGCAGTCGTTCCGTGATCACGGCACGACCTCTGAAAGAATTCTACAGGTGCCGGAGCTCCGCGAGCGAGACTCTAGCGCACCAAGTATCCTAAGCAACCTCCCCGGTTACTTAATTCATGGAGTCCAATACAGGCCTAGAGAACGTTCTGGTCCCTAAATTGCAGGCTCAGCGCTACCTTCGTGGTATCGTTACCGGAAAGAGAGCCTGGTCCTGTAAGAGAGCCTGGTGCTGGCGGACTAGAGCAGGCAAGCTGAGAAGGGAGTTTACTTGTTTACTTGGGAGTTTATCTCAGCGGTTTGGTCAGTGAGAAGTTCTGTTGCATTAGTTCTAGGAGGAAACGTGGTTGTTGCTGGTCGAAAGTTGGATAAGGGAGTGTTTGCAGCATACACTGTTGCGGTTCAGTGGGTTTCTATGTGGTTTTAAACGGTTCTCAGAGAGCCTGAACTGGTTGGGTATGGTGTTCGGGAAATCCAGTTTCTCAAGGGACACCCCTGCCAGCCGCAATCTTTCCGAATTCTCGTGGTCCACGCTTTTGCGGCACTCTCAAGGTCAGCGCTGCATCCACGTGGCACAGCTTCTTTCCCCCCTAACAAAGTTTCGATAAGGGGTGACAATACACAAGACGACGGGTTATTGGAAACCATTGGCAATTTATACTGTTAAAATATGAAATGTTCTTCAATCATCTGTGCATTCCCATTCCAGCTTGTTGAATTATTAGATTTGTGCAGTATATGCACCTCAAATGGAATATGAGCTACTTCAGATGAAATGATATACGGCCTTCAAGAAATTGATAGCAAGGTTGAAAATTCCGGGTACTTGAAATGCGGACTCCATAACGAAGCAAACAACTTCTGGGCAAGTTTTTGCGTTGTGTAAACTTCAGGTTGTGTTTGGAATGAAGCTGTGTCAGACGCGCCTCGTTCGTAGAACCGTAACACTGGTAATTCTGACTTGCACTTGCTAAATTCTCCCGTCGCCTGCGCGAAACGCTTCTGCCCTGCGAGTTTCCATGGCTACCACTTCACTCACTGATCGTTCATTTTCCGGGAGCTCGGAAAGAGTCGCAGCTACTGACCGTCCCGTCGTTGCAAAAGCTCACTCAGGTGCTACGGATGACTCGAGCTCCAAGTCCGCTAGGCCGTCTGCAGCAGCAGGAACGGCTGTAGCGGCCGCGATCCTTGCAGTTGTAATTTCCGCGATTGCCGCGGCAGCAGCGGGGGGGGTATTTTCTGACGGAGTGGGAAATTTCAAGCTGGGAAACTGGAAATCTGCTTTTCATCTGACTCAAAGGGACCCAAGAATTGATTCGGTTCAGGTGGACCCGGAATTCCGACACGTGGCGGGAGCGGGGCCTGGGATTGGTGCGAGTGAGGTTGTTGTTGACGTGGACCGGCTTCAGGATCAGGTAGGCTGATCTTTCGAATCCCCTCCCCTCCCTCACCTCCCTCCCCCTACTGTCCCCCCAGGTTCCTTGTTTCAAGAGCAGGTACTTGGGGTTTGGGATCCCCTCCCCTCCCTCACCGCCCCCATCCCCCACCCCCCCCCCCCCCCCCCCCCCCCCAGCCCCCCCCCTCTCCCCCCAGCCCCCTGCTTCAGAATAAGGTACGCTGGCGTTTAGAATTCCCTCCCCCTTTCACCCACCTCCCTTCACCCCTTTCTCCCCCTCCCCTCCCCTCCCTCGCCCCCCCCCCCCTTTCTTCCCCCCCTCTCCGTCATCCCCTTTCCCCACTATCCCTCCTTCCATTCGTCCCACAAACACCTCTCGTTTCCCTCCTCTGTTCATCTCAACCATCCTCCCCACCTGATCGCACCCGCTGTTGAGCCGCCTCAAAAGTCCTCATAGGTCCTTCCACATTCGTCTCATTCTTCCATCCCACCTGATCGTACCCACCCTCCCTCCCGCCTCAGATCGACCACGTCGCCACCTTCTCCAATGACGAGCCGCCAGCTGTCACTCGTGTCCTGTTCACGGAGAACGACGTGAGGGCAAGAGAGTGAGTGCACTGAGTAATGTTTGAGTCGAGTTTTGCGTGCACTGAGCACTCAAGGATCGCTTCTTTTTCGAATTCCTTCCCCGATGTGTATTGCTACACTGTCTGACCTTCGTTGCTGCTCCAACCTTTCTAGCAGCTTACTTGGTACATGTCTATGTGTGTCTCTATATATGTGGATAAATGTGTGCGTTTCTCTGTGTATATCTTTGTGTTGTACAGTTACGTGAAGACGCTTATGAGGGAAGCGGGGCTGGGTATAAGAGAGGATGCTATCGGCAACATCTTTGGCAGATGGTGAGGCTTTGGCAGAAGGAGGATGCCTTCTCTTGTGTCATTCGCTCCTATGGCAGAAGCAGATTGCAGGTTGGCAGGTCGATGTATACAGAACGACAGGTTAATGTAGCGTCATGACTATTGAATCGACACAGGTCGATGTATACAGAACGACAGGTTAATGTAGCGTCATGACTATTGAATCGACACAGGTCGATGTATACAGAACGACAGGTTAATGTAGCGTCATGACTATTGAATCGACACAGGTCGATGTATACAGAACGACAGGTTAATGTAGCGTCATGACTATTGAATCGACACAGGTCGATGTATACAGAACGACAGGTTAATGTAGCGTCATGACTATTGAATCGACACAGGTCGATGTATACAGAACGACAGGTTAATGTAGCGTCATGACTATTGAATCGACACAGGTCGATGTATACAGAACGACAGGTTAATGTAGCGTCATGACTATTGAATCGACACAGGTCGATGTATACAGAACGACAGGTTAATGTAGCGTCATGACTATTGAATCGACACAGGTCGATGTATACAGAACGACAGGTTAATGTAGCGTCATGACTATTGAATCGACACAGGTCGATGTATACAGAACGACAGGTTAATGTAGCGTCATGACTATTGAATCGACACAGGTCGATGTATACAGAATGACAGGTTAATGTAGCGTCATGACTGTTGAATCGACACAGGTCGATGTATACAGAACGACAGGTTAATGTAGCGTCATGACTATTGAATCGACACAGGTCGATGTATACAGAACGACAGGTTAATGTAGCGTCATGACTGTTGAATCGACACAGGTCGATGTATACAGAACGACAGGTTAATGTAGCGTCATGACTATTGAATCGACACAGGTCGATGTATACAGAACGACAGGTTAATGTAGCGTCATGACTATTGAATCGACACAGGTCGATGTATACAGAACGACAGGTTAATGTAGCGTCATGACTATTGAATCGACACAGGTCGATGTATACAGAACGACAGGTTAATGTAGCGTCATGACTATTGAATCGACACAGGTCGATGTATACAGAACGACAGGTTAATGTAGCGTCATGACTATTGAATCGACACAGGTCGATGTATACAGAACGACAGGTTAATGTAGCGTCATGACTATTGAATCGACACAGGTCGATGTATACAGAACGACAGGTTAATGTAGCGTCATGACTATTGAATCGACACAGGTCGATGTATACAGAACGACAGGTTAATGTAGCGTCATGACTATTGAATCGACACAGGTCGATGTATACAGAACGACAGGTTAATGTAGCGTCATGACTATTGAATCGACACAGGTCGATGTATACAGAACGACAGGTTAATGTAGCGTCATGACTATTGAATCGACACAGGTCGATGTATACAGAACGACAGGTTAATGTAGCGTCATGACTATTGAATCGACACAGGTCGATGTATACAGAACGACAGGTTAGTGTAGCGTCATGACTATTGAATCGACACAGGTCGATGTATACAGAACGACAGGTTAATGTAGCGTCATGACTATTGAATCGACACAGGTCGATGTATACAGAACGACAGGTTAATGTAGCGTCATGACTATTGAATCGACACAGATCGATGTATACAGAACGACAGGTTAATGTAGCGTCATGACTATTGAATCGACACAGGTCGATGTATACAGAACGGCAGGTTAATGTAGCGTCATGACTATTGAATCGACACAGGTCGATGTATACAGAACGACAGGTTAGTGTAGCGTCATGACTATTGAATCGACACAGGTCGATGTATACAGAACGACAGGTTAATGTAGCGTCATGACTATTGAATCGACACAGGTCGATGTATACAGAACGACAGGTTAATGTAGCGTCATGACTATTGAATCGACACAGGTCGATGTATACAGAACGACAGGTTAATGTAGCGTCATGACTATTGAATCGACACAGGTCGATGTATACAGAACGACAGGTTAATGTAGCGTCATGACTATTGAATCGACACAGGTCGATGTATACAGAACGACAGGTTAATGTAGCGTCATGACTGTTGAATCGACACAGGTCGATGTATACAGAACGACAGGTTAATGTAGCGTCATGACTATTGAATCGACACAGGTCGATGTATACAGAACGACAGGTTAATGTAGCGTCATGACTGTTGAATCGACACAGGTCGATGTATACAGAACGACAGGTTAATGTAGCGTCATGACTATTGAATCGACACAGGTCGATGTATACAGAACGACAGGTTAATGTAGCGTCATGACTATTGAATCGACACAGGTCGATGTATACAGAACGACAGGTTAATGTAGCGTCATGACTATTGAATCGACACAGGTCGATGTATACAGAACGACAGGTTAATGTAGCGTCATGACTATTGAATCGACACAGGTCGATGTATACAGAACGACAGGTTAGTGTAGCGTCATGACTATTGAATCGACACAGGTCGATGTATACAGAACGACAGGTTAATGTAGCGTCATGACTATTGAATCGACACAGGTCGATGTATACAGAACGACAGGTTAATGTAGCGTCATGACTATTGAATCGACACAGATCGATGTATACAGAACGACAGGTTAATGTAGCGTCATGACTATTGAATCGACACAGGTCGATGTATACAGAACGGCAGGTTAATGTAGCGTCATGACTATTGAATCGACACAGGTCGATGTATACAGAACGACAGGTTAGTGTAGCGTCATGACTATTGAATCGACACAGGTCGATGTATACAGAACGACAGGTTAATGTAGCGTCATGACTATTGAATCGACACAGGTCGATGTATACAGAACGACAGGTTAATGTAGCGTCATGACTATTGAATCGACACAGGTCGATGTATACAGAACGACAGGTTAATGTAGCGTCATGACTATTGAATCGACACAGGTCGATGTATACAGAACGACAGGTTAATGTAGCGTCATGACTATTGAATCGACACAGGTCGATGTATACTTTTGAGTCGACTCAATCTCAACAGGTGAATGCAGTGTCGAACCTGCAATCTGGCACTCTGCAAGCTGCCAGGTTTCCACGTGACCTTCTCAATCTCAATCTGTCCCAGAGTGGCAAGCTGGCCACTCTGTCGTCGATGCATTCAGAACAGCACGGCCCCGCTGAAAAACGGAAGTGTGGAAAGTTCCTGCTGAAAAATGCATGACCCACTTTTACAAGCAGGTCCGCGTGTGATGAGTCGTGTTTTGAGTCGACTCAAAACATGACCCACTTTTACAAGCAGGGTATTATGTTGCAGGTTCCGTCGTTGTGTCTTCAGAAGGTTTATGCAATCCTCCTTTTCTTTGAGTTTTGAGACGTTTCAAAACTCTACTTTTATTCCGTCAGCAGGTCTTCAGTGCTCTTTGTGTCTTCAGAAGGTTGATGCAATCCTCCTTAATCCTCCTTTTCTTTCGCAACACTTCCTCCTCCTCCTCTCCCCCCTTCCGCCTCCCCACCCCAACCTTCGCACACACAGGGAGGGGTCCAATGAATCGTTGCCAGCTGTCGTCACAGGGTCGCACACGGATGCGATCCCATTGGCCGGGAAGTACGACGGCGTTGTGGGGGTGCTGGGAGGGATCGCAGCAGTGCAGGCGTTGAAGCGGTGGGTCTTGCTTCACCTTTTCTCAAACGGTCCTTTGTATTGAGTCTGCTTTTGAGTCGACTCAAAAGCAAATGCTTCACCTTTTCTCAAACGGTCCTTTGTATTGAGTCTGCTTTTGAGTCGACTCAAAAGCAAATGCTTCCCCTTTTCTCAAACGGTCCTTTGTATTGAGTCTGCATTTGAGTCGACTCAAAAGCAAATGCTTCCCCTTTTCTCAAACGGTCCTTTGTATTGCTTCCCCTTTTCCCTCTCTCTCTTTTCCATCCTCTCGCCCTCCCTGAGCTGGGAAGTACGATGGTGTGATGGGGGTGCTGGGTGGGTGGGATCGCAGCAGTGCAAGCGCTGAAACGGTGGGTCTTGCTTGCTTTGCTCTGCTCTCTCCTCCTTCCCCTCGCCTTCCATGGCTGTAAAAAACGATGGGGTGTTGGATATGCCGCCTCCCTCCCCTCTTTCATTCCTATTCTCCCCACCCTCGTCTTTCTAGGGCAGCGTTTCCCCCCCATTGACCAATTAAATTGCTCATGTTCACTTCGTTCCACAAGGGTAGAAACAAGGGAGCTTCTTTCCACATCCGCGCCCATACCCCCCTTCCGCTGCTCCCGCCCCCTTGTGCAGGGCCGGGTTCTCCCCCCATCGCCCCATCGAAGTGCTCATGTTCACTTCTGAAGAGCCCACTTTGCTTGTTTCCCCACACCCCCTTCCCCACCTCCATTCTCCTACCCCCCGTGCCACACCCCCCTTTCCCTATCCCCATTCTCTGCAGGGCCCGATTCTCCCCCCATCGCCCGATCGAAGTGCTCATGTTCACCTCTGAAGAACCCACCCGCTTCGAGATCGGCTGCCTGGGCAGGTGGGTGTTGGGGAGGGAGTGGGATGAGGGAAAGGGGAGGGGGATAGGAGGGGTTTGTGCGTTTGTGGGGAAGGAGGGGTTTGTCCTGGTTGCTTGCAAGGGTAGGTGGGGTGTAGTGTGGTAAGGGGGTTGGGGCAAGGTGGAGACTGAACTCACTCCCCTCCCCCCTTCCTCCCCAACCCAAATGCGATTCACTGTTCATGCCGTCCATTTACCACCCCCCCCCCCCCTCCCCACCCACTCCTTGGTTTTTGAGAATTCTCAAAAGTACCATCAACGTAGCTGAGAATTCTCAAAAACCACCCCTTCCCCACCCCCTCCCCACCCACTCCCCATGCCCTTCCCACGACCACATGCTGTTGTTCATCCTTTTGAGAATTCTCAAAAGTCATCCCACTCCCCCCCTTGCCCTCCACCCAAACCCTGTTCACTGTCCATTTCAACGAGGCCTTACAGAATACAACTTACTTACTTCCCCCTTTACTCCCCACCCACACCCTCTTTCGCTGTTTCACTGTTCTTCCCACCCATGCCCTTCCCACCCCCTCCCCACCTCCTCCCCACCCCCTCCCCACCTCCTCCCCACCCCCTCCCCACCTCCTCCCCACCCCCTCCCCACCTCCTCCCCACCCCCTCCCTACCTCCTCCCCACCCCCTCCCCACCTCTTCCCCACCCCCTCCCCACCTCCTCCCCACCCCTTCCTCCCCCCGAACCCCCCCCTCCCCACCCAAACAATGTTTTACTGTTCATCCCACCCAGTCGCATGTTGGCCAATCAAACTGGCTATCTCGATCGCCTGCTGGCGCTCCTGGACAAAGACGGCCGGCCATTCGCCGAGGCTGCCGCTGAAGCTGGTTACGGAGAGGTTCGGAACGCAGGTTCGGTGGCAGCTGTGGCTTTGGGTCGGGAACAAGTGGGCGCTTTTGTGGAGCTGCACATCGAACAAGGGCCGCTATTGGAAGACCAAGGTATTTCATATGTAGTGTAAACGTACTTTGATATTATATTCATGTATACAGGTACATATATTGTCCATGCGTAAACACATCCTTGGTTGTGTGTTTGTAGGTAAGGGATATGCATGGACAGGACACACACATTATGGATGTGTTTACGCATGGACAATATGGACAGCGGTGGCAGTGCCAGAGACATTATGGATTGATGTATTTGCATCTTTACATGCGTTTTGTGTATCGCACATACATGTGTAGATCGTACGCGTGTATATTCCGTTCATGTACATCACATACATGTACATTACATACATTACATTGATATGCATCACATACATTCTTACATGTACTCGTGAATCATGCGTGCACGGCTGGACATTGGCATAGTGACAGCAATAGCAGCGCCAGCAACCCTGGCTGTACACGTAGACATATCTACATGACAATACATACATTCATGTACTTGTATCGCATGCGTGCAGGGCTTGACATTGGCATAGTGACAGCGATAGCGGCGCCAGCAACACTGATGGTCATGTCCACACGCCTTTACGTATCTACATGACAATACATTCATTCATGTGCTCGTGACTCATGCGTTCAGGGCTGGACATTGGCATAGTGACAGCGATAGCGGCACCAGCAACGCTGGGAGTCAATCATATATATTCGATTACCCATACACACCACTACATTCGTTTTTCGTGCGTTCAGGGCTGGACATTGGCATAGTGACAGCAATAGCGGCGCCAGCAACACTGATGGTCGATTTCAGTGGAGGAGGGGGGCATGCCGGCGCACTGCTCATGAAGCATAGGTGAGGCGTGCTGAGGTGTGCTGAGGTGTGCTGAGGTGTGCTGAGGTGTGCTGAGGTGTGTTGAGGTGTGTTGAGGTGTGTTGAGGTGTGCTGAGGTGCGTTCAGATAGTTGGATTCGAGGTGTTCATGCTGACTTTCAATGGAGGAGGGGGTCACGCCGGCGCCCTGCTCATGAAGCACAAGTGTGCTGAGGTGTGCTGAGGTGTGCTGAGGTGTGCTGAGGCGTGCTGCGGCATGTTGAGGTGTTGAGGTGTGTTTAGGTTGGCAGCTGCTGCAGAGTCTCTCACTTGCTATCCCAGGAAAGATGCAGGGTTGGCAGCTGCTGAGCTCTTCCCTCCCTTTCCACACTCCCCTCCTTCATTCTCCACATCCCCTTTCCCTTTGCCAACTGCCCCCCTTGGTCCATCACTTGCTATCCCAGGAACGATGCAGGGTTGGCAGCTGCTGAGCTCTTCCCTCCCCCTCTGCACACCCTCCCCTGCTCTCACTTGCTATTCCAGGAACAATGCAGGATTGGCAGCTGATTTTGAGTCGGCTCAAAAGCAGAAGATGCATGCTTGGCAGCCGATGAGAACTCCCCTTCTCCTCCCCTCCCCTTAATCCCCCTTCCCCCCACTAATCACCACCCTCAATCCTCCCCACCCCTGCCTTTGCTTGCTGACGCTTGCTATCTCAGGAACGATGCAGGGCTGGCAGCTGCTGAGCTCTCATTGGCTGTTGAGGCAGCTGTGCTGGCGACCAGGGCAGACGACACAGTGGGGACCACAGGTATGGTGATTCCGTAGAGGCATGCTATGAATGAGTGTGAAGTTTTTGCATGCCTGTTACGTGATCGAAGTAGTGATTTGAGAAGCAGTGAAGTTTCTCAAAACAGTGGGGACCAAAGGTATGGTGATTCCGTAGAGGCATGCTATGAATGAGTGTGAAGTTTTTGCATGCTTGTTACGTGATCGAAGTAGTGATTTGAGAAGAAGTGAAGTTTCTCAAAACAGTGGGGACCAAAGGTATGGTGATTCCGTAGAGGCATGCTATGAATGAGTGTGAAGTTTTTGCATGCTTGTTACGTGATCGAAGTAGTGTTTTGAGAAGCAGTGAAGTTTCTCAAAACAGTGGGGACCAAAGGTATGGTGATTCCGTAGAGGCATGGCATGCTATGAATGTGTGTTTTTGTTTTCTTGCATGTTTGTTTTGAAATTTCGCAAAACGAGCGTGGTATAGTGAGTGTTCTTTTGAGAATTCTCAAAAAAACACTCGCTGGTATAGTGGGGCCGTAGAGGCGCCAAATGAATGAGTTGAGTGCCATCTGGTCTTTGATGCCCCACTGAAATCACAGAGGCCGTTCCTGTTGGAATTTGAGGCGCCTCAAAAGAAATGCTTTTGAGGCGCCTCAAAAGAAATCACAGAGGCCGTTCTTGTTGGAATTTGAGGCCCCTCAAAAGAAATGCATTTGAGGCGCCTCAAAAGAAATCACAGAGGCCGTTCTTGTTGGAATTTGAGGCCCCTCAAAAGAAATGCTTTTGAGGCGCCTCAAAAGAAATTACAGAGGCCGTGTTCTGGATCACTGCTTGCCATATTGGAGTGACTTTTGAGAATTCTCAAAAGTCACTCCAATACAGAGGCCGTGTTCTGGATCACTGCTTGCCCTCTGAAGCAACCAAAACATGCCCCCCCATTGATGTCGCTGGTGTTTTTTTAGAATTCTTTCCAATACCAATCCATTCACCTTCTCTTCCTTCTGCTCCGTGCCGCTCTGTTTCACAAAACCACCACCCCTTCTCAGGGCATCTCATGCTTCAGCCGAACGCAGTGAACAGCGTGCCCCGCCATGCACACTTGGAGATTGGTGAGTGGAGGGAAAGGATGGCGAGTGGTTGAAAGGGATGGCGAGTCGTTGAAAACGATATCGAGCGGTTGAAAGGGATAGTGGGTGGAGGAAAGGAATGTCGCGGTTTTTTACAGGATTGTATGGTGGGAAGTTAGTGCGTGTAGGTTGGTGACATTTGTGCAGATAAAGACGTAATACTACTTGCTGTCTAACGTATTCAAAAGAAGCTTTTTCTAGAGCATACGGATACGGCCATATGCTATCTGTATCACTCTGGACACGTGAAATGAGAGTGTTTTTGAGACGTCTCAAAAACACTAACTGTATCACCCCTGGACACGTGGGTAATTGTTTGGGATCCACCCTTGTTTGGTAATTGTTTGCTATCTGTATCACCCTGCAACATTGCTTCGCTCCTGCCACTGCTGCCGCCAGTGCCTTGCAGACGTTCGAGACATTCGACGAGAGGAGGCGGGATGGCGTGGTGTTGGCAGTCAGTAAAACCCCTGTTACCACCCGCCATACCCGACCTTCGTGCCCCATCTCTTGCTGCTGCTGCTGCCACCACCGCTGCTGCTGCCGCAGATATTCAAGACATTCGACGAGAGGAGGCGGGATGGCGTGGTGTTGGCAGTCAGTAAAACCCCTGTTACCACCCGCCACACCCGACCTTCGTGCCCCATCTCTTGCTGCTGCTGCTGCCACCACCGCTGCTGCTGCCGCAGATATTCAAGACATTCGACGAGAGGAGGCGGGATGGCGTGGTGTTGGCAGTCAGTAAAACTCCTGTTACCACCTGCCACACCCGACCTTCCTGCCCCATCTCTTGCTGCTGCTGCTGCCACCACCGCTGCTGCTGCCGCAGATCTTCGAGACATTCGACGAGAGGAGGCGGGATGGCGTGGTGTTGGCAGTCAGTAAAACTCCTGTTACCACCCGCCACACCCGACCTTCGTGCCCCATCTCTTGCTGTCGCTCCTGCCGCCACGGCTGCTGCTGCCGCAGATCTTCGAGACATTCGACGAGAGGAGGCGGGATGGCGTGGTGTTGGCAGTCAGTAAAACCCCTGTTACCACCCGCCACACCCGACCTTCGTGCCCCATCTCTTGCTGTCGCTCCTGCCGCCACCGCTGCTGCTGCCGCAGATATTCGAGTCATTCGACGAGAGGAGGTGGGATGGCGTGGTGTTGGCAGTCAGTAAAACCCCTGTTACCACCCGCCACACCCGACCTTCGTGCCCCATCTCTTGCTGTCGCTCCTGCCGCCACCACTGCTGCTGCCGCAGATCTTCGAGACATTCGACGAGAGAAGGCGGGATGGCGTGGTGTTGGCAGTCAGTAAAACCCCTGTTACCACCCGCCACACCCGACCTTCGTGCCCCATCTCTTGCTGTCGCTCCTGCCGCCACCGCTGCTGCTGCCGCAGATATTCGAGTCATTCGACGAGAGGAGGCGGGATGGCGTGGTGTTGGCAGTCAGTAAAACCCCTGTTACCACCCGCCACACCCGACCTTCGTGCCCCATCTCTTGCTGTCGCTCCTGCCGCCATCGCTGCTGCTGCCGCAGATCTTCGAGTCATTCGACGAGAGGAGGCGGGATGGCGTGGTGTTGGCAGTCAGTAAAACCCCTGTTACCACCCGCCACACCCGACCTTCGTGCCCCATCTCTTGCTGTCGCTCCTGCCGCCACCACTGCTGCTGCCGCAGATCTTCGAGACATTCGACGAGAGGAGGCGGGATGGCGTGGTGTTGGCAGTCAGTAAAACCCCTGTTACCACCCGCCACACCCGACCTTCGTGCCCCATCTCTTGCTGTCGCTCCTGCCGCCACCGCTGCTGCTGCCGCAGATATTCGAGTCATTCGACGAGAGGAGGCGGGATGGCGTGGTGTTGGCAGTCAGTAAAACCCCTGTTACCACCCGCCACACCCGACCTTCGTGCCCCATCTCTTGCTGTCGCTCCTGCCGCCACCACTGCTGCTGCCGCAGATCTTCGAGACATTCGACGAGAGAAGGCGGGATGGCGTGGTGTTGGCAGTCAGTAAAACCCCTGTTACCACCCGCCACACCCGACCTTCGTGCCCCATCTCTTGCTGTCGCTCCTGCCGCCACCGCTGCTGCTGCCGCAGATATTCGAGTCATTCGACGAGAGGAGGCGGGATGGCGTGGTGTTGGCAGTCAGTAAAACCCCTGTTACCACCCGCCACACCCGACCTTCGTGCCCCATCTCTTGCTGTCGCTCCTGCCGCCACCGCTGCTGCTGCCGCAGATCTTCGAGTCATTCGACGAGAGGAGGCGGGATGGCGTGGTGTTGGCAGTCAGTAAAACCCCTGTTACCACCCGCCACACCCGACCTTCGTGCCCCATCTCTTGCTGTCGCTCCTGCCGCCACCGCTGCTGCTGCCGCAGATATTCGAGTCATTCGACGAGAGGAGGCGGGATGGCGTGGTGTTGGCAGTCAGTGAAACCCCTGTTACCACCCGCCACACCCGACCTTCGTGCCCCATCTCTTGCTGTCGCTCCTGCTGCCACCGCTGCTGCTGCCGCAGATATTCGAGTCATTCGACGAGAGGAGGCGGGATGGCGTGGTGTTGGCAGTCAGTCAAGCCCTCCTTAGCATCACCACGCCCCTCCCCCCGTGTGCCCCATCTCTTGCTGCTGCCGCCACCGCTGCTGCTGCTGCGTCTGCAGACATAAGGGATATTGACGAGGCGAGGCGGGATGGCGTGGTGTCAAAAGTCATGGCGGCCGTCAGGAGCATTGCCGCCAGACGGAAAGTGAAGGTGGAGAGGTGAGGGAAGGAGAGAAGGGAGTGACTGTTTTATGGGAGGGGTATGGTGGTGCAATGGAGGAAAAGCGTGGTTTCAAAAGTCATGGCTGTTGCCAGAAGCATTGCTGGCAGGCGGAGAGTGAAGGTGGAGAGGTGAGGGAAGGGAGTGACTGTTTTATGGTAGAAGTATGGTGGTGCAAGGGAGGAAAGGTATAGTTGCAGAAGTCATGGGCGCTTGCAGGCGTGAGCTCTCCTGTCGTTACTTTTGAGTCGTGTTTTAAGTCGACTCAAAACACGACTCAGGCGTGAGCTCTCCCGTCGTTACTTTTGAGTTGTGCTTTGAGTCGACTCAAAAGGCCGCTGCCAGGCGTGAGCTCTCCCGTCGTGTAAGGGAGTCGTGGCGGCTGCCAGGCGTGAGTCGACTCAAAACACGACCCAGGCGCGAGCTCTCCCATCGTTCCTCCCTCCCCCCTCACCTTCCCGTTTTTCACATCTCCCCCTTTCTCTCCAGTCTCCCTCTTTCTCTCACGTCTCACTCTTCCCATTTCTGACCACCCCCGGCCGGCCAGAATGGAGCTGGTCAATGCCGACCCGCCCGCCCAGTGCAGCAGCATGGTGACGTCAGCAGTTTTGTCTGCAGTGCAGGAGCTGGGGCTGAGCCACCAGCGAATGGTCAGCCGGGCGTATCACGATGCACTGTTCATGGCGAGGTGCGTTACTGTTCATGCACACTGTTCATGTGGTATGGATGCTGTTTATGGCAGTGTTAAATACTGTTCATGGCGATGTGCGTTACTGTTCACATATTGCTAACATCAGCCAATGCTCATGGAATACTGTTCAAGTGCTACTGTTCACCAGTTATCAGTTATGGGCTACTGTCCCACTATCCCATGCATCATTTTCTCTCCTTTCTCACCAGATATCTCCAATCTTCCAGCCCTTCCCACCCCTCTCCCTCCACTTTCTATCCATCCTAACCACAGCGTGGCGCCAACAGGCGTGGTCTTCATTCCGTGCCGAGGAGGTGAGCAGGTCTATATGAACGGAGGGATTCCGCTGCTCATCCACCACTCTCTCCTTCCTTCCCCTCCCTTCCCCCTGCCCCCTCGTTCCATTCATCCTAGCCACAGCGTGGCGTCAACAGGCATGGTCTTCATCCCGTGCCGAAGAGATGAATTGGACTTTTTGAACTAAGGGATTCCGCTGCTCATGCACCTCTCTCTCCTTCCTTCCCCTCCCTTCCCCCTGCCCCCTCGTTCCATTCATCCTAGCCACAGCGTGGCGTCAACATGCATGGTCTTCATCCTGTGCCGAAGAGATGAATTTGTCTTTTTGAACTAAGGGATTCCGCTGCTCATGCACCTCTCTCTCCTTCCTTCTCCTCCCTTCCCCCTGCCCCCTCTGTCCTTGCATCCTAACTACAGACTAGCTCCAACGGGCATGATCTTCATTCCGTGCCGAGGAGGTGAGCTGGTCGTGTCTTGTTCCTAACTCATTGATCTTTATTCGCTCCCACACTCCATGTTCAAAAATAGCAATAATTGCCTTTTCATATTGATAACAGTGAAAAACATATTAAAAAAAAAACTAGTTGTAATAGTAATAACAATAATAACAAGTGCTTCCTGCTTCTTTCCCATCTGTTTTCCCTCCTTTCGTTGCTTTCTGCCTCTCCCTGCTTCCCTCAGGTGTCAGCCACAGGCCGGATGCATTCACTCCGATTTTCTATTTTTGAGTCGACAGAAAAAATCGTCTCAAAATTCGTCTCACCACCGGCCAGATGCATTCACATCAAAGGCCAACCCGGCCAACGGTGTTCGTGTGCTCGCCCTCACAAATCGCTCTCTTCCTTTCTTACCCCTTCCCCTCCCTTACTTGACATCGTGCTACTCTCAGGTGTGAGTCACCGCCCGGAAGAGCTCGCATCAAAGGCCAACCTCGCCAACGGTGTGCGTGTGCTCGCCCTCACCAATCGCTCTCTTCCTTTCTTACCCCTTCCCCTCCCTTCTCTCAGGAGTGAGTCACCGCCCGGACGAGTTCACGTCCAAGGCCAACCTCGCCAACGGTGTGCGTGTGCTTGCTCTTACACTCGCCAAGCTCTCGCTGCAGTGACACCTGCAGTGATACCTGCAGTGACACTTGCAGTGACATATTCACTGACACCTGCAGACTGCAGTGACACCTGCGGTGAAACCTAAGTATATATGCCTTGGCATCTGCTATACGGTGATCTTGGAGTCGATGGACTCAAAAGTTACTTTCTGTTTTTGTCTGAGATACGTGCTGACGTCCTTGGCATCACTCTCGTGAAGCACTCGCTGCATTGACATCTGTGCAATGCTCTTGCTGCATTTTTTTTTGCACAGCACAGTACCAACACTCCAATGGCCTATTATCGTAGGGTTGGAAAATGCCTTGTATATATGCAATGTGTCTACTTGTAGTGGACAGCCGTGAATCTCTGTATAGAATCCTCCCGTTCATTTTTTTTTTTTTTGCTTATATGAATTATACACCAGAACATAAGTGTACAACGCATAAACAGTCGTAACTGTGCATGAGAGACAGGAAGTCCCGCCTCAGAGAATTCGATCCTCAGACATGGATCCGGGGCCTGCGAGGTTTGCCCCAAATTGCCGCGAAACTGTTGGACCACTTCCAACCTTTGCCATCCGTTACTCTGATGCGATTCAGAAGGTCACGTTCTTGCCCCGTCATTTTCTGCCACCTGGCCTGCTGAACTTTCCCACGCTGCTGCATCCTTACTGCGGAGGCTCGCACGTAAACATTAACATGCATGCGAAGGGCAGACTCAATCCTCCGTAGGACTCTCCGCGTGCGGAATTTGCAGCCCCTGAAGGCTCCTTCACATCTTTCCGCCCATAACTGGTGCAGGGCAATCGCAACCAACGAGGCCTCAGGAAATGCTGACTGGGACCCCTCCTTGCCGAACAGCCACTCGCCAAGTGTGTCGCTTTTCCTGCCCGGGTTGATCATCCGTTATGCTTTTTTGACCGCCGAAACCACCCCCTGAATTTTCGGGCACTCCACGAGACAGTGCTCCAGTGTCTCAAACCCCCCGCAATGCGGGCAGACTGGTTTGCTGCTGAGAAATTCCAGTTTCTCCCCCACTTGCAGATTGAGGCAGTGTATTCACAGCAAAACATCCCTCGGTCGACTTGGGGTGACCAGCGATTCACGAATCCGGACTGCCCTTTCCCAATCAATGATGCCGCCCCACCGACTCGCCCATTTCTCCCGCTTGTTCTTTCCGCCGCTGCCGTGCTTCCAGTGTTTCCGGAGCGACCGCAGCGGAACCATTGTCCCATCCGCCAACAACTTCATCTGGAGCTGTAGAGGGCCGCCTCTTCCCACCTCATACTCGTCCGCAAAGCTCATGTTCGGAAGATCAGCCGAGATGAGCCAATTCTTCCATGATTATGGCGCAGCCGCAAAAGCCTTGAGCGCAAGGTTTGCCGAGTCCTTCCCCCGCAGCTCTCTCTCTAGGGTTTCAAGGCTCTTCAGCACCCCTTTCCCTTCTGCATCTCTCCCGACAAGATCTCCAAGTCTGACGCTCAGAAGCCCTTTCGCCGCTTTCTGCCCTCCTACTGGTGTGGTCCCTTTCAGGAGAATATGTATGTTAAACGTGATCCTCTCCAGCAACAGCTCCTTAGCCTCTCGCTCCTCCGTGGTTACCGCCAGCGGGGACCGCATGAAATTTGCGCATGCTAGCTTCCAGCGCTAGCTTTTCCCCTCCCATGTCTTCAACAGCATCTCATGTGCCATGAATGTTTCCAGTCCCCTTGGCAGGTCAGCCGCCTGATGCATCAGTTCTCGCTTTAATTGATCTGTCTCCGTGAGTATCAGCCCAATCCTGCTAGCCGTCAAGCAGGTAAGCATCGCTTCTGGATTCTTCGCCCCCACTCCATCTTCTAGTACCGGTGTGAACAAGAGTTCCTTGCTCCAGAGATTGAAGCATTTCTCAGACGAGACCTTGTTCGCTGACATGAAGTTTTGCGTCATTTTCGTGATCTCTCTCCAGGTTTGCGCAGGCAGCGGGTAAACCTGAGCCTGGGACCACGCAATCGGCAGTATGTACCCGTCCATCACCGCTGTCCGGGCCTTGATTGGGAGGAATTGCGGCTGCCACAGCGACATCTTCCCAGCAATTTTTTGCAGCGCCTTATCCCACGTCGGCTGACAGCTTCCGTTCGGCGTGACCCACACCCCGAGGAGTCTCTCAGCTTCGTTAGCGTCAGCCCAACGGAACCCGTCAGTACGCCAAGTCTTCTTCCCCAGGTTGGCTCCCAAAGGCATCACCACTGACTTCCCCTTGTTTGTCTCTAATCCCGAGATATTTTTAAACTCCTCTAACACCTCCTCCGCCTTCCCAACTTGTTGTTTTCCTTACAGCAGGAGGGTCGTGTCATCTGCGTAGCCAATATAGCCCAGCCTCTGACGCAGCTGGTGAGCGAGATTCCAATCTTCCGCTTTATCACCTTCTGCGCCAGAGGCTCCACCGCACAGAGGAAGAGGTAGGGTGCTAAGGGGCAACCCTGTCTCACTCCTGAAACCACCTCCACTGCATCTCCCATCCAGCCGTTGATTAACAAGTTCGTCCGCGTGTTTGTGTGCAGGCCCCTCACCCAACCAATGAACCGAGCCGGGAATCCCATTTTCCCCATCACGTAAAAAATGAAGTCACGGGACACCGAGTCGAACGCCTTCTTAAAATCAACCAACAGCATATACCAGTCTTCTCTCCCATTCTTGGCCGCATCGATGATATCAGCGACCAGCCCCACTGCATCTGACATTCGTCGCCCCGGAATAAAGCCGAACTGCTCCGGTGAGATCACCCTGTGAAGAACTTTTTTGATTCTGCTCGCCAAGACTCGCGCCAACACCTTGTAGCTGATGTTCAGGAGTGTGATAGGACGATAGTTGTCCAACTGATCCTTCGCTCCTTTCTTGTGCAGGAGTATCGTCACCGCATCCTTCACGCTGGTCGAGGGTGTAGAGGTGAGAGGAAAGCCTTGAGCCAACCCCATGACATGTTTCCCTAGCGTGTCCCAGTACAACTCGAAGACCTCCTTCGGTAAGCCATCTTTCCCCGGCGTCTTATTACTCGCCATTTCCTTCAGCGCTTGCCTAACTTCCTTTTCCGACCAATCCGCCTGTAGACTCTCCACATCCGAATACAACAGCTTCTTCCCAGCCGCTGGATTCCAGTTTGAAGACACCATCTGTTTATCCTCCCCAAAGAGGCTACGGAAGTACCCTGCAGCTGCTTCCAGAATTTCCTTTGGTTCCGTCACCACCCCTCCTGGTGCCGCTACCTCCACTATCTGTGTTTTGACCTTCCGTGTCTTTATGCGTGCTGACAGATATGGCGAGGGAACTTCCCCTGACAACGCTAGCTCCATCCCAGCCATTGTATGCATCCTTTCTTGCCGACATGCGAAATATTCCTTAAGCTGTTGCTCCTGTCTCCCCAGCCGTTCTTTCATAACTTGGTCCTTGGGGTTCTGCATGACCTCCTGACGCAATAGAGCCACCGTTGTAGTGAGATGGTTGATGGTCGCCCTTATTCTCTTACTTTCCTCTTTTGCATATGATCGCAGACTGGTGCTCAGGCGAGAGATGAGAGACGCAAAACCCCCTCCATTCTGCGTGACCAACCGCTCCACCTCCTCTATTTTCCTTTTAGCCCTCGGTCTTCCCAACAGGGAAGGGTGAAGACGCCAAACACCCGGTCCCAGCTTCAACTGCGACTTAAGCTTGAAGATTACTCGGATGGCAAAACCATGGTCGGAGACTTGCTCATCCGGTGAAACATGCTCAGCCGACACCAGGCACGGGAGCAGGGATTGAGAAACCAGAGCCCGATCAATCCGTGTGCTCTCCTGATGCGCCTGCGAATAAAAGGTAAATTCACGATCGCTCGGGTGAAGGAAGCGGAAAGCATCTGAGATAGCAAAATTTTTGCAGTGATGATAGAGGAAGTCATTCTCTCTTGTTGATCCATGTCGAGAGGTCTTGTCGAGCAATGGATTTTCAATGGTATTTAGATCTCCTAGGATGAGCAGGTGAGTGCCTGGCTGAATATGGTTGATAACCGAACCAAGCACTAATCTGCTGAAGGCTCTCTTTTCGACTTTGTCTGCAGGGAGATAAGTGGCTATTAAAGTAAGGCGAAGGTTCAAGCAGTGGACTTCCACCTTAACAAGTCTTCCGGAAGGGTGGGCTAAAGGGTTGTGAAAAGAGAGATCTGTTCGCCGGCTCAAGACTGCAACACCACCAGCTCGTGTCACAGACGAGGCAACGGCGAGAGAGGTGAGGTTAAGAGAAGGCCAGTAAGTGTGATCATCTGCTATTCGGGTATCCGACAAAACCATTACATCTGCTCCTTTTCTGCTATTAATCCATGCCGTTGTACGTTTCCGCTTCGTGAAATCCCCCAGGCCGTTAATATTCAGGCCCGCAAACGACAGGGTGTTTCGTGTATTCATTTAATAACTCCTTCGTTGCCTATACGCATCCACAGGCAGGTGATACAGAACAGAGCAGCCAACGCCGAACCAACTGCTATCGCCATGGTGAGTTTCTCTGGAGCCATTAGATCCCATACTCCTTGCGAACCGTGTGCAGATTCTCTCTCCCTCGTCAACCGAGTAACAGCACCGAGCTCTCCCTGACCGTGCAGATGACGTGCTGAGGTGACGTGCTCTGTAGCAGCGACAAACAGCTTCCCGTGTGCTTTTTCGCAGCAGATTTGAGTGCAAATCCATTCCTCCCTGGAACTTCCGGTGGAGATCAACACAATAGCCTGGTCGAGCAGGATCGGACGAACAAGACTTGTTGCAATTAGCGAGGAAGCTGCGACAAGCGGCTGAGTGGTTAGTATCCGAAGAACAGGTAAGAGAAGCAGGATCATGAAATCGAGCAGCTGCACCGTTACCGTTAATCCCGTGCACACGACCTAAACTCAAGCTCGATTTCCCTATGTTATGCTGTCGGTCTATGATGAAGGCATCATGATACTTATCATAGTGCCATCCCCCACAGAGCCGACAGGAGAGCACGGGGTAATGGACCAGGAGCGTCTTGCCCTTCTCCTGCGGGTGGTTGACCTGATGAATCCAACGCCTCTTCTTATCCTCCGGATGCGGAACTACCAGTCCCTTGATAACCCCTGTGTTAACTCCAGAGACAGGATGTACAACCCGATGGAAGCAATGGCTCTCCAGGAAAGGCGTGACCTGCCGAACCTTCAACTTGTACTTCACCAGCAGCTCAACAGCCTCCGGTGTAATATTCGCAGGTATGTCTTTAAAAACCACTTCAATGACTCGTGGATTGGTAGCTTTCTCTTTAACGAAGGCCGCGTTTTCAGTATGAAGCCAATGCAGCGGGTACGATGTTCCATTTGGCTTCTGATACTCCAGAGCCGATTGTCTCACTTTAATGGCATCCTCTTCTTTGTGAAATGATAACTGCAGGCGACTGAGCTTGGTTTTTGCGACATACGCAGGATGAATGTCCTGAAAGTCAACCTTCGTGTTAGCGCCATCAGAAAGCAAGGAAGACCAAACACGCTTTAGCAACATCCGTGCGGTGACGATGACCAAGGCGATTTCCGTCTGCAGCACGAGAGGCAGAAGCAGGATAGCCGTGTAACGAAGCTTTGCAGCAGAGTCACTGGATATCTCAAACTCCAGCTCTGTGTCCGAGTCATCATCCGTGAAGTCGTCGTCGTTGTCAATATTATGCGCAGAGGTGAGTGCAGCCAGCTTTTCTTCCAGTGATAAACCTGAACTTCCAGCAACTGGAGTAATCGGCTCATTCTCCTCCACTTGTTTCCCCTTGCCTTCAGGATCCGAAACAGCACCACCAGCAGCAGCACGCTTCGGCATGAGCGGAGCACGTTCCTTGGGAGGAGGACACGCCATAGGGCGATGATGAGCGAAGATCAGCAGCAGTTGATTTAGAAAGGCTCGAAATGCCTGAGCTGCCAAATGTCTGAGCCCAGTATAATATAGACGCAGCGTCTTCCCATCAGACCAGTGCTCTTGATATAAGTGCTGAGTTGTTGCTGATAAGACCTGTGGTTGATCATCAGTAGCCTCGAGAACGCCATGAAATACGAACAGCCAATCAGGATTCCCTTTGGAAAACTCTCGTGAAGCACAATGAATCAATGACAGGGTGTCAGCTGATGAAGCCTTGAGATTGCTTGGATTAAAGAAGCTGAACAGCAGATTCCGATAAGCTCTTGATACGATGTTCGCGTGATGAACATTGAAAGTGTACCAATCGATTCGTCGCGATAAGGCGAGCTCAAAGCTGTGCTTCTTAAAGCCAACTGATAACTCTGCTTCACGAAATGCTGGGTTGAATACCCTGAAGAAATCGATGGCGGAGAGCTCGGAGAAATCCTCCCGTTCATGATATATGCTTTGATATCTGTATAATCTCGTGTAGTGCAGTGCAAAGATAGACAAGTCCCAACTTCTAGTCACGGATTTCTCATATATGTTCTACGTATTGGTCTAATCTTTCTTCGTCGAGCCACTCAACCAAGGGCACCATCCGAACCTAACGTCATCTCGTGGTTTGATGCCCTGGAAAACTGCCTCCCTGCAGCCCCCAACCTAATCTTGACAGGTCTGGTGGAAAACACGAATCACATCGGGAAGTTGCTACCAAGCCAGCGATTTCCAAGCCTGTGTGACAGCGGTTTGCGAGCCACAAGTTTCAGCTTTGCGCCACTTCACCAAACCACGGTTCTGAAATTTGTCGTGTAGTTTGATAGGGTGAAGGAATGACAGCCTTGGTTTTTGCTTCAAGGGACCAACCAACCACACTTTTGTCCCCAGCACAGTTCCGTACCAGCGCAACGAGACGCGAAACCCTCGCAAAACGTCGCCGTGCGGGGGCGATGAAGCCGTGCGAGTCGAAACTTACATGTTACAGTATGTGACGAGAACTATCGCCAGTGCTGACAATTTGCAAACCTAATCCTGAACCCCCTTGAACACTCCCCGAAAGCCGATAATCTCCAGGTGCCCCGACCTTCAACCAACCACCACCACAAACAGCTCCCAGCACCTTTGAACTGAACTGGGGCTATCCTCGATTCCTCCTCAATCCTCGCTCTTGCTATCATGTGTTCAGAGTTGCGTTTCTTCTTGAAGCACTATCCGTTCCGAGTCTTCCGCTCCTACAACCAGCGAGGTGCAGTCGTATTTATGGTTCTCGTCTAGTGGATGCCTAAATCCTAGCAATCTGCGTGCCCTTTCTCAGCTGACGCTTGAACAGTCGATTGGCAGTATTGTCGAGCGGGGGCTGAAGTGGAGTTTTTTTGCCATTAGCGAGTCTCCCGTGCTTATAATACAGTAATTATCGTAAGATAGTGTTTCAAGTAAAATGTTTGACCTCGATGCTTGATCTTCGAATATTTTCGCAACCTTGCGCTCTCTGATGGTCGTCATCAGCGACAACCGTAACCATGCGACTATTCTAACAGTAGCGGCGTCGCACAGCGACAGACAATGATGCGATTTTTCGCTGACCCAGATCTTTCACAGAGAACGTCGCGTGAAGCAGTCGCAGGGAGCTTTCCGGGAGAGAAGCGCGCCGTGCTGGGCGATAAGCAGATCATCCAAGCGGCTTCGCTGCAAACCGTAGAGCTTGAGCGCGCGGAGAACCAGCTGCGCAAACAGTGGCAAAGAGGGATCTCGGGGGGAGAAAAGGCGGAGAAGCGAGCGCGCGGAACCAGCGGCGGAGGGGGAAGCCACCATGGCAGGACTGGGAGCGGCGGGGACGGCGTGGGGGGATCAGGCGGAGAGGGGAAGGGAAGAAAGACAGGCCGTCCGATTAACGGCATGTTGCGGCCTGTTCAGGGCGGCGATTTCTTGGATGTGGCGCTCCTTGCAGGGCTGGCGACGCGGGCTCGGCGGGAGGCAGCCAGGCTACAGGAGGAGATGACACGTGTCCTCCGTGACGTGGAGAAAGCGCGTGAAGAGAGCGCGCGCATGGGGGAACGCGCCGCCGCGGCGCTGGAAGACGCAGCGGACGCGATAGAAGCAGCGGCTAGGGTTGCGATTCGGAATGGCGGGAAGAAGGGGCGGTCCGGGGGAGGCGACGCGGGAGGGAAGGGGGGAAACAGGGGAGCGCGGGCGACGGAAATGGCTTTAGGCGGGTGGTGGGGGGACGGAGGAGTAAGGTTGATTAAGGTTAAAGTGCCGGATCGACACGCGGGAGGGTGCCTGGATGAGAAGGGCGGCTCGGGAAAAGGTTTAAAGCTGTATGTTGCGCAATCCGATGCGGAAGATGCGGGGGAGGCGGAGTTAATCGGGGAGGATGACGTGTCGGACGATGGTTGGGCCGCGCTTTCGCTTGATGGCGACTCGGGGAGTGAAGGTAAGGGGGATATCTTGGGGACTAAGAGATTAAAGTCGAGAGTGTTAGGGTTGTATGGCATGCGTCCCGGAGATGGGCGTGGAGCGGCGGTTCGAGACGGCTCGGATGGTGAGAGGACGGAGGAGGAAGAGGGGGAGGAGGAGGAAGAGGACGAGGAAGAAGAGGAGGAAGAAGAGGAGGAGGAAGAGGAAGAGGAAGAGGAGGAGGAAGAAGAGGAAGATAGGGAGACGAGGTTCAGAGGCTTTATCCCGTTAGGGCACAATCGGGAGCAGGAGAAACAGCAGCAGCAGCAGCAGCAGCAGCAGCAGCAACAGCAACAACAGCAGCAACAACAACACCAGCAGCACCAGCACCAGCACCAGCACCAGCACCAGCAGCACCAGCAGCAGCAGCCGCCACAGCACGAGCAGCAGCAACAGCAACAACAGCAGCAGCAGCAGCAGCAGCCGCCAGTATTCGCGACAATCTTCCCGCGCATTGAAAAGCCTCGTCGCCCCAGCCCCCTAGGCCGCAGTGCTACAGCCGGCAATTCCTCCGCAGCAGAAGCAGCACTCTTCGCCGCCGCAGCAGCAGTAACGGGCGCGTCTGGCCACGCTGCTGCTACAACCGCCGCCGCTACAGCCAGGCTGGAAGCTCGTGCTGCTGGGGCAGCGGCGGGGGAGGGGTCAGGGGGAGGGGGCGGAGGGGGAGGGGGAGGTGCGGGGGAGAGGAGTAGCGGGAGAGGGCGCGGAGGGGGGGGTACACCACTTGAGTCCCCTACCTCCCCCCCGCCGTCTCCTTTGTTTGAGGGGTTGACTGGTGGAAGTGTTACTGGGGTGGGGACTGGTTCTGGGGGAGCAGGGGGAACGGGGGGAAGGGGGGAAACGGGTAAAACGGGAAGTGCACGAGAGGAGTTAGGAGGGGCACCGTTGCTTGCAGGGACCCCTCTAGAAAGAGTGCAGAAACCAGCATCACCTGCTGCTAGTTCCGCATTCGGTTCTGGTCCGGGATCTGCCTTTGGTTCGGGCTTTGGTTCGGGCTTGGGTTCTGGCTTCGCTGCTTCCGCGTCTTTATCCCCCGGCCTGCGGTTCCACGGGCGGCAAATGTCGGCGCCACCTGCCGAGCTGCTGGAGATGAGCGGCGGGCTGGGCGGCGGGGGAGGGTTCGGAGGACTGGCTGCCGCCCAGCTAGTTGCTATGAAACGGTTGGAAGCGGCTAAGAACTTAGGATTGCTACCTAATGCAGGTGGGGCTGAGGACGGGGCGGGCAGTGCTGCTGGTGGTGGTGGGGAGGTGGGAACTGGGGGCGGTGCTTCCCCTGGGAAGGATTCGAGCCCGAGGGGGGGTGTGAGAGGGGGAGGAGGGAGCGTGGTAAGTCCGGGTAGAGAGCAGCAGCAGCAACAGCAGCAGCAGAAGCAGGGTATCAGTGGGGCCACGGGAGCAGGAGGAGGTGGCGCAGCAGAAGCAGGGGCGACGTTTCATGTTCCCACCCCTCCCCCACGCTCCCAGCTCCCAGCCAATCGCTCCCCTGCCCAACGCCTAGCCGCCTCTGCTCTCGTCCGCCACGCCTCAGTAGACCTCTCCTCCCTGCGGGGCGGATCCGGGGGAGGCTTTACCTGGGGCAGCGCGAATCCCAGATTCGCTGTAGACAGACTCAACATGCTGGGGACTTCCCTAGGTCCCACCTCCCCCGGGTCACCCTCCCCTGGTTCCCCCTCCTCCCGCTCCCACCACTCTCTCGCGCCGAACCTCCGTCCGCAGGTCCCGTGGCTGCCGGCCACCGACCCTGAGCTGGCAAACCTGCCGGTTCGGAGGTTTGGTTCAGGGATTCCAGGCCGGGGGGCAGGCTCGGTGACGATGAGTGAAGCAGAGTTGACTGCGTTTGTGAAGGGGACTCCTCCTAGTGGGCTCGGGAGGACCCTTAGTGGGATGGCGGGATTGGCTGGTCGCACTGGGGGTGGGGGTGGTGGTGGTGGTGGTGCTGGAAGTGGTGCCGGTGGTGGTGGTGGGGGTGGTATAGGTGCCAGTCCTCTTGGAGGCGGTGGTGCTGGTGGTGCTGGTGGTACGAATATTCACAGCCTAGGGGAGGGGGTGCCTCGTCTCATGTCTTCCATTCTCATGGAGGAAGGCGGGGTTTCTGCTTCTGCTGCCAGGGGCGGCACTCACCTGGGCGGCAGTCCTCTGGGCGGCAGTCCCCTTGGGATCACCCGCACCGCATCGCTTTCGCCGCCCAATTCTGGGGTGGGTGGGGGGAGGATGCTTCCTCCTCATTTCCTCAGGTTGACTCTCGGCCGGGTTGGTGAAGCGGCAGGGGAGGGAGGAGGCGAAGGCGGAGGAGGAGGGGGAGGAGGAGGAGGAGGGGCGGCAACAGCAGGAGGAGCAGGAGGGTCAGGAGGAGGGGGTGGCGGAGGAGGGGGAGGAGGGGGTGGAGGAGGAGGGGGAGGAGGGGGAGGAGGAGCATGGGGAGGAGGATGGGAGGGAATTGTGGCCCATAGAAAGACTGGCAGCTTATCCCTCCTCTCCCGAACCAGCTCCGCCGCACCCAGCTTCGGCACAGCCTCGCCAGCCGGAGGCTCGGCAGCAGGCTCGGCAGCAAATTCCCCTCTAGGAAGCGTGTCCTCCGGATTCAGCCTAAGTCCCGGACTGGCCACTCCCCCCTCTCCCGCATCCTCTTCCGAAGCCCCATCCCCTGTCCCTCACTCTCCTCTCGCTCCTCTCTCCCCACTCTCCCCCCTCTCTCCTCTCCCTTCCTCCGTCCTCTCCCTCTCGCCGCTCTCCCCGCTCTCCCCCCCGGCCCGTACTCTCTCCTTTGGTGGGTTCTTCCCTCCGGGGGATGACGGGGCTGGGGGAGCTGGCAACGCTGCTGCTGTTGCTAATGCCAGCACTGGCACTGAGCGGAATGAGCATACTGCAGGTGGTGCCTCTGGTGACGCTGGTGGTGCTTCTGCTGCAGCAGGAGGGGTTGGGGGAAACACTGGTATGGGAGGCAGTACGGTTACATCAGACGACGGCAGCAGCAGCGGTTACATCTCCGCAGGTACGCGTGGCGGTTACGTGTCATCTGGTGGCGGAGCGGGCGGCGGTTACATGTCATCTGGTGGTACCGGGGGCGGCAGTTACATGCCATACGGTGGCGGCATGGGTGGCGGCATGAGCGGCGGTGGGGGCGGCGGTTACATCTCCGCATCAGACGACGAGAGTGTCCACGGGCGGCTGGACAGGTGGCGGGAAAAGGGACTTGATACGAACACAGAGGGCGAAACAACAGAGGGGGATTACGACACAGAGAGGGAGGAGAGGGAGGAGGCGAAGAGGAGGGAGAGGCAGGAGAGGTTATGGCGACTGGAAAAGAAGGTGGAGGTAGAAGAGTATGATACGGACCAGGAGTTGGAGCTTCGGCGGGAGGAACGGCAGCTGGCTCGGCAGCAGGCTCGGGAGAAGAGGTTAGGGTTGGCAGCAGAGATGATGAAGGCGGAGATTGAGAAGGCTGCAGCTGCGGTGGGAGGTTTGGGAGGAATGGGAGGAGGTATGGGAGGAGGCATGGGAGGAGGTATGGGGGGAGGTATGGGTGGGAATGGCATGGGCATAGGCATGGGGATGGGAATGGGGAGGGAGGGTGAGGGGGATCGATTTATGAGGGGGAATGAAGCAACAGATACGCATGAGCATGGGCGTGGGCATGCACATGGGCATGGGCATGAGCATGGCTCATCGCACGTCCGGCGACTTTCGGGAGGTAGTGGTGGGGGGGCGGCAGCAGCAGCTTCGGGCGGCACAGCAGCAGGTTCGACAGCAGGAACGGTTGGCGGTTTGGGGAGTCAAATAAGCCTTGGGCTAGGACTGGGGGACAGTATCGCTGCTGGTGCTTCTCTGGGTGGTGCTTCTAACAATCGTGCTTCTAACACGCCCTCTTTAATAGCACATGGTCCCCTGGGCAGCCCTCTAGGAGGAAGCCCCTTGCACAGCCCCCTAGGGAGTCCCCGCGGGGGGAGCCCCCTAGGGGGAAGCCCCCTAGGGGGAAGCCCCCTAGGGGGAAGCCCATTGGGGGGAAGTCCTCTAGGTAGCCCTCTCAGCAGCCCCCTGGGTAGTCCCCTCAGTACGGGCAGCAGCGGTGGGTTCGGTGGGTTCGGTACGGGCCTGCTCCGAGGCTTGGGAAACAGCTTCGGCGGGGAGATGGCTGTAGGTTCGGGGTATGGGCGGCGGAGGAAGCACAGGAGGGGGTCAACGCTGGGGGAATTGACTGAGACAGAGTGGGAGGGGACGGATAGTGAGTGGGAGGAGGGGATGGAGGAGAGACTAGCGAGGATTCAGAGGGAGGAGAGGGAGAAGAGAGAGAGGGATGCTGCTGCTGCTGCTGCTGCAGCGGCGGCGGCAGCAGCGGCTTTGGCAGTTGGGGAAGGAGGGAGGGGGAGAGGGGGAGAAGGAGGGGCGGGAGGGAGAGAGGTGTTGAGTAGTGGGGAGGAGGACGGATTGAGGCGGTTCGGAGGGCCGCTAGGAGGTTCGGCGGAAAACCTGGCTGGTTTGGGAGGAGGCTCGGGTGGAGGTTTGCCGGGAGGTCCGGGGGGACGCTCGGCAGGGAACCTGGTAGGCCTGGGAGGAGGTTCGGGAGGAGTTTCGGGAGGAGGTTCGGGAGGAGGTGGAGGAGGTATGGGAAGTGGTTCGGTTTCCATGCAGAGTGACCTGCCTAGGGGGTTAAGTATGAACAGGAGAGGCTCGATTTCTAAGGAGGACTTACTTGCTGCTCTTGTTCCTCTAGGTTCTAGTAAGGATGGAGAGAGAGGAGAGAGAGGAGTAAGCAGCAGGGAGAGTGGAGACGAGGGAGGAGGGGCATTTGGGAGGAGCAGTGGTGCGGGAGGGGGTAGGGATGTTGGGTTGGGGAATGGGGAGTGGGGGGGGGCTGGTCGGGGGAGTGAGGGGAGGGGAGAAAGGGGTGGGGATGGGAAGGAGCAGGAGCAGGGTGGGGGGAGGGGAGTGAGTGTTGGTTCGAGTGCGGGAGTGTCAGATAGTGGAAGCGGTGGGGTGTTTTTCGAGATTTCTCTTGAGGCTGGTGACAGTGCGGAGAGTGCTTATAGAGAGGCGGCTTCTAACGAGTATTCTCGGGGAGGGAACGCAGCTCTATCCCCCACTTCCCCTCCCGGCCAATCACAGTCGTCCGTTCTGGGTTTTCCCTCTAAGGTAACTTCGGAACAGGATTTGTTAAAGAAGAGGTTGAATCCGCTGCGAGTGTGGTTAGCGGAGCAGACTATCGAGAGTACGGTTGCTGGTGCTAAAAGCCCGGAGCGTGATGGAAAGCAGGAAGATTTAAGTGCCGGCGTGAAGAGTTCAAATATTGGTGGGGGGAGTGGCTTTGGGAGGGAAGGACAAGGAAATTCAGAGGTAGGAGGGGGAGGCGGAGGGGGAGGGGGAGCAGCAGCGGGGGGGAAAGGGGGATTAGGGGGGTTGGGAAGTGGGCTGGCGGGATTAGCTAGTCTGCAAGGGCTGTTAGGTGGAGGGGGTGCGGGAGGAAATGGGATGGGGGGTGGGATGAATGGGGGATTCGAAAGGGAAGTGGGAGGGAGAATGGAAGGGAGAGGAGGAGGAGGAGGAGGAGGAGGAGGGGGAGGAGGAGGGGGAGGGGGGGGGGGGGAGGAGCAGAGAGAGCAGGGGGAGCAGGGGGAGCAGGGGGATTAGGTGGTCTGGGCAGGGGCTTGGCAGGGCTAGCAAGCTTGCAAGGGCTCCTGGGTGGGGGGGCAGCGGGTGCAGGGGCACGGGAGGGGATGAATGGGGGAGGGGGAGGGGGACAGGGTGTGGGGACCATTGGAGGGCAGTTAGGGGGGGAGAGGGGCCGCGCAATCAATTCATTGCAGCAGCAGCAGCTGTTGCAAGCGTCTACAGATCAAGCTTTAGCCCGGTTTGAACGGCTGGCTGCTGGTGGCACTAGTGACGCTGCTGCTGCTGGATCCTCCACAAGTGCAGGGCAGGGACAGGAACAGCAGCAGCAGCAGCAGCAGCAGCAGCAGCAGCAACGGCTGTTGCAGGCGTCTACAGACCAAGCCCTCGCCCGTTTTGAACGGCTGGCTGCTGCTGGTGGTGCTGCTAGTGCTACTGGTGGTTCTGGTGGTGCTTCTGCTGCTTCCCCAGGAGCAGCTGGAGGAGCAGGAGGAGGGGCAGGAGAATCTAGAGGTGTGGGTGAGAGGAAGAATCCACGAGCGGCCTCTGCTTCCTTGCAGCAGCCCACTCCTCTCCCCGGCCCCCCCTCTCCTGGTGTGAATGGAAGGGAGATGGGGAGTTGTAACAGGGAAGGTGCGAATCCCAGTGACAGAGGTAGAGGAGGGGGTATGGGACAGAGCAGAGGGGGTGGAGAAGGAGCAAGAGGAGGAAGTGGAGGAGGAGGGGAGGGGATGAATGGGAGAGGAGGAGAAGGGCAGTTGGGCAGCCCTGCTAGTAGCACTTCTAGCCGTGGGAGTGTTGGGGGGAGGGCAGGGGGAGGAGGAGGAGAAGGGGGAGGAGATGGTCGGAGGGGAGTGGGCGGAAGGGGAGAGGGGGGCGGAAGAGGTGGGGGAAGGGGGGCGGGAGGAGGTGGGAGAGATGGAGGGGGGAGGGGAGGTGCGGGGAGAGGGGGAGGGGGGGGGTAGAGGAGGGGAAGGAGGAAGAGGAGGCGGAAGGGGTGGAGGGGGGATGGGGGAGGGGGGAGGAAGAGGTGGAGGGGGCAGGGGCCAAGCGGCAGGGGGGCGAGGCATGTCCGAAAGAGGGAGGTTGGAAGGAGGGGTTGGCTTGACAGGGGAAAACAACACAAAAGGCCCTTCGGAACAGTCCCAGGGTAATTCGAATCATATCCGGGGTAATTTACCCCCGCCTCTGGTGATGCAGTCTCCCTCGCCGCCCGCGCCGAGCCCACCGCAAGTTCCTTCGCCCCCCGGAAGTTCGTCCACCAATACGAGAAACCCTCGTGCAAAAATAATGAGTCAGGGGAGTGGCAATTTTCGAGCTGCGGGGGTTGGGAGAGCTGAGACTTGATGTGCGATAGATCACAATGGCCAGGAACAAGCTGGTTGTGACCGTCTCAAAACAGTACCGTTAGGTTTGGCTGGTGCCCTTGGTTCAGTGGCTTGGTTTGTAGACAGCAGCAACCTCGCAAGTACTGCAACAAAGAAAGTCTAGCCGTTGGTGAACAATAAATGTGTATGACTTATAGTTCAGGAAGTGTAATTGTGTTACGTGTGCAATTGAGTGAACGAACGAGAATTGCACTATCGAAGCAAGAGTACAATGAGCGAAGGCATGAGCGAAGAATATATAGCGAAACTACAGTGGTAACGGTAATGGACTGTGGTTGTCGCGCGACGGGCCTGGGACTGAGGTTGGGAAAAGTGTCGAAGCGGAGGCCCGGAGCGCGGGTTACCCGCCGAGCCGTGAGGTCGGGGTGCGACGTGCGAAGGTGGCGGGCGGATTGTCGATGCGAGGATTGCGAGTGGTAACGGTGCTGACTGTGGTGCTACAGTGATGTATGCGTTGAGCAGGGACGCGAAGTAAGGAAAAAGAGATTTTCCTTACACTACCACCCCCCCCCCCCCCCCCCCCCCCCCCCCTTAAGGAGGTCCTCCTTACGAAAGTGCGTGTACATCCCTGAAATTCCGGCTGCGCATATACTCGGTGAGGACGGGGTGGTGTTCGATTCTGTCCAGGGGAACCCAATTGTCTTCGATGGGTGTCCGGTCCTTCCAGCGGAGTAAGAACTCGATCCTTCGGGCTCCTCGAGGGTCACGAACTCTGTGGCTCAGGATTTTTTCGGGGGTGATGATTGGTTCAGTCGGCGGTCGTGTCATACTGGTTGGGCGATTGCGTGGGAGTTGGCTTGTGGAGGGGATGTAGGGGCGAAGCAAGCTGACGTGGAACGAGGGGCTGACGTACCAGTCAGCAGGGAGGAGGAGGCGAGCGGTGACGGGTGTTATCATGTGGCTTATGCGAAATGGCCCGCAGTATCGGGGGCGGAGTTTCGGGGTGATGGGCAGTCGGAGATTTTGGGTGTCGAGTAAAACTAAGTCGTCGGGCTGGTAAGTGACAGGTCTGCGGTGGCGGTCGGCGTTGCGTTTAGCGATGATGTTAGCTTTTTTAATTGCGTCTGCTGCCCTGGTCCGTGCTGCTTGCAAAATTTCGGCGAACTGTTGCGCGCGTGGAACCGGGTTGTCGGGATTCGGGGTCATGGGTACTGTTGGGTCTTGTCCGTAATTCAGGTAAAACGGTGACTGTTGGGTCGTGGCGGATGGGGCTTTGTTGTATGCGAATTCGATGAGTGGCAGTTGCTGTTCCCACGTGTTTGGGTCGTTGCACGTAGCCCGGATGAGCTGTTCCATGGTCTGATTTGTCCGTTCTGTCTGTCCGTCTGTTTCGGGATGGTACGATGAACTAAACTGTAGTCGTGTGCCGAACTGCTGCCACAGGTTTCGCCAGAAGTTGCTGGTGAATTTCGTGTCTCTGTCGCTGATGATTGATGCTGGTATCCCGTGCAGTCGAACGACGGTAGAGATGAAGAGGCGGGCCGTTTCTTCGGCTGTGATTGATTTTTTGCAGGCTGCGAAGTGTGCCATTTTCGTCAGTCGATCGACGACGACCAGGATCGCGTCATTTCCACTCGCCACGGCCGGTAACCCCGTGACGAAGTCCATCGTCACCTGCTGCCAAGCACGCTCTGGAGGTGGGATTGGCTGCAACTGTCCCGCCGGCCGCTTCCGTGTTGACTTCATGATCTGGCAAGTGGGACACGATGCCACGTGACGCTGTACGTCGGTCAACATTTTGGGCCAGTAATAATACCGCTGCAGCTGCTGCCGTGTTTTCTCTACCCCGAAATGTCCCGAGGTAACCCCGTCATGTGCCTCCAGTAGTAGTAATTCCCGTTGCAGTGTGTACCCTAGTACCCAGATGCGCTCGGTCCCGGCTTTTACGTAATAGACTCCCTTGGCTGCTGCGAACTGCTGCGAATTTCCTCCTGTGAAGAATGGGTCCGTTTGATATCCGTGGGTAAATAGTCCTGTCAGTAGCGGGCTGGTCTGGGCGAGTAGTATCGCGTGGATCTGGGCAGTGGGGCGGGTCAGTGCGTCGGCGATGTTCGAGGCTCCTTTTTTATAGGTCACTGTGTAGTGGAAGTTTGACTCGAGGAAATCGAGCCACCGAATCTGTCATGGGTTGAGGTGGGGCTGTGCGCGGAGGTACTCTAGTGATCGGTGGTCTGTCCGTACTGTCACGTCTGCGCCGGTCAAGTAGCAGCGCCACACTTTGAACGCATGCACGATCCCGAGCATTTGGCGGTCGTGTATTGGGTAATTTCGCTCGGGCGGATGCAGTTTTCGTGACTCGTATGCGATGGGCTGTAGGCCGTTGCCGAAGTCCTGTAGCAGTACGGCTACCATGGTGATGTCGCTTGCGTCTGTAACAACCTCGAAGGGGCGGTGTGGGTCGGCGATGCGCAGGACGGGCGGTGAACAGAGAACATTTTTCAGGGCAGAGAAGGCAGCATGCTCTTTCTCCCCCCACGTAAAATCGACCCCCTTTTGCAGTAAATCCGTCAGCGGGGCGGTCAATTGTGCCATGTCGGGAACGAACCGACGAACATAATTCACGAACCCTAAAAAACTCTGCAGTTCCGTGATGTTCGTCGGGGGACGCCACGCTTTTACCGTATCCAGCTTCTTTGGGTCGATTTCAACTCCAGCCTCCGAAATAACGTGCCCCAAAAATTCTAGCCTGTCCCGAAAAAACTCGCACTTAGAGCCCTTGGTGAGTAGCCGATGTTCCTCTAAAACTTTAAATACTGCTTCGAGATCCGCTAAGTGCTGCTGCTTGTCATGACTGTAGACGAAGATGTCGTCGAGGTAAACTATCACGCATTTATCTAAGAGTGGCCTAAACGCATCGTTCATGGTCATCTGAAATGTTGCGGGCGCGTTGGTCAGCCCGAAAGGCATCATGTCAGAACATTATAGCTTATGCTTTTGTGTAGGCTGTAGTGGGGTAGCCCATATGGGGTACAACCCAATTAGGGTTAGTACTTGTACCCAACTGTTTCATAGTTTATTCATTCTCGTTTCAATTCTCACATGGTATCGAGCAGGTTCCCTCGTGGGAACTGTTCCTAGGGCCCACCAATTCGACATTTTTTTTTCCTGCCCGGAGCGCGCTCAGCCCTAGCCCGAGTCGCGCTCCCCCTTTTCTCCCCCCGTCGCGCCGCCCTAGCGGCCCCGTCACCTGCCTTGCGGCCCTCGCGCCGCCCTTCCTGGCCCCGACCCGCCGCCCTGCGGCCTCGTCCCCTACCCCGCGGCCATCGCGCCGCCCTTTCCCGGCCCCGATCCGCCGCCCTGCGGCCTCGTCGCCTACCCAGCGGCCCTCGCGCTGCCCTGCGGCCCTGACGCCGCCCTTACCGGCCCCGGCGCCTACCTGCGGCTCCGACGCCTACCTGTGCGGCCCCGGCGCCTACCTGCTGGCCCCGCCTCCTACCTGCGGCCCCGCCACCTACCAGCGGCCCCGCCACCTACCTGCGGCCCCGCCACCTACCAGCGGCCCCACCACCTACCTGCGGCCCCGCCACCTACCCGCGGCCCCGCCACCTACCTGTGCGGCCCCGGCGCCTACGTGTGCGGCCCCGCCACCTACCTGCGGCCCCGCCACCTACCTGCGGCCCCGCCACCTACCCGCGGCCCCGCCACCTACCTGTGCGGCCCCGGCGCCTACCTGCTGGCCCCGCCACCTACCTACGGCCCCGCCACCTACCAGCGGCCCCGCCACCTACCTGCGGCCCCGCCACCTACCCGCGGCCCCGCCACCTACCTGTGCGGCCCCGGCGCCTACCTGCGGCCCCGCCACCTACCTGCGGCCCCGCCACCTACCTACGGCCCCGCCACCTACCAGCGGCCCCGCCACCTACCTTTGCGGCCCCGCCGCCTCCTCTCAGCGGCCCCGCCGCCTCCTCCCAGCGGCCCCGGACGCCGCCCTCTCAGCGGCCCCGCCGGACCGCCCACCAGCCGAGCCGCCCAGCAGCCGAGCCGCGCAGCCGCCGAGCCGCCCAGCAGCCGAGCCGCCCAGCAGCCGAGCAGCCGAGCCGCCGAGCCGCCCAGCAGCCGAGCCGCCGAGCCGCCCAGCAGCCGAGCCGCCGAGCCGCCCAGCTGCCGAGCCGCCGAGTCGCCTTGCAGCCGAGCCGCCCGAGCCGCCCTGTCCGGTAAGAGCAGCGCCTCTTTCACAGCACTGCCCTCACCCTACAGTTTGCGCTGCTAGTCTACTGCTGTCATGGCTACCCCTAGTGTCCTCGCTTTTGACGCTGAGGGTCGAACCATTGACTTTGACGTCTTGATAGATGACCTGCAGCTTTTCTTATAGTGCGATAGGGCAGACGGTCTCTCTCTCTTTGACCTCACCTCTGGTGCCACTCCTGCCTTTGCTGCTGATGCTGACGCCACTGTTCGCTCCCAGTGGGCCACGCGCGATGCTTCTGCACGTCTTGCTGTGCGTCGCCACATGCCTACCTCTGAGCGTGCGCACTTTAGCCAGTACAAGAGTGCTCAGACCTTGTACGCCGCTGTAGTTGCACGCTACTCCTCCCCTGCCACTGCTGCACTGAGCCCCCTCAGGCTACCGTACCTCT